TAGAACATAATTAACCCAAACATAAATAATATAAAATTTTTTTTTTGAAAAAGTAGCATTTTTGTAAAGATTTCAAAAGTGTGGCATTTTTGTAAAGTGACATTTGAAAAATAGTATTTTTTTTAAATTTCTCAATAAATATTTGCATTTGTGTTTATTTTAAGCAAAATATAACCTTTTTTTTATAAACATATTTTGCAAAAAAAATCAATGCAAACCAATTTTTATCGACAAAGCATTTTTTTTCTACGTTATGTATCTGCGTTTATAATTAATATAAAAAGATTTATAATACACATTATTATACGTAAACACGAACACAAGAATAAGTCCAATAAGATTCGTTCTTTTTCCTTTCATAATCACCAATAGTTAACATATGGTTAAGAGGGTAGCTAGAGATATTAATTAACAAACATAAAATTCCGTTTAAATTATAAATTTGATGGATACATGCCTACATATAAATACAATATGTAACCAACATCATATCTCATGCAACTTCAACGTTTTCCTCAAAGGAACAAACCAAAATATAATTAAAGACATGACAGAAGAGTTCGAGATCGCCGGAACTTGGTGGACTTCACCAACAGACTCATTCTCTGGCTACTCGCTGCCACGTTCTACTGAGATTAGCCTCGATGTCACAAATTTCGGATGGCAAAACGTTGATAACAAGATTAACGATCAGAGTGATGATTATAATATGAACTTGCACACATCACAAATCTCTTGGAATCAATCTATCATGTAAGTCCACATTTATATGTTGTTTTATATATTGATATTACATTACATAGTAATATTGGACTTTTCTTTGATCCTTTTTCTTTCTTTTATTGTTAATTTCTTGAAGGCATAGTAGTTTCTTCGAAGGATTATTCGATCCTAATGAGCAATTACAATCGGATTCTTGGCCAAAAGCTACAATTCCTAACGCGAAATCTGAGCTGCTCGAAAGTTTTCCATTCTTCGATAACATGTTCTTGATCGATTCAGAAGGTGAGTCTTTATTGGATCATGAGATCAGAAACCATAACTCGAAGGAGCAAATTACACAAGCCTGTAACAATCCTACTTCAAAGGCACGTAACTGCATCTATACACTAAAACCTAATTAGTTATGTATTTAATAAAATTAATTAACATGTATAGATGTGCTAAATTTTTCAGAGGAGAGAAAAGACCGAAGAATTAGAAGAGAATAGCGATGAATATTCACCGCGATTGCTTAAAAGGCAAAGAATCGATACATTATCTCCATTGCCCAGCTTCAAAGTTCGTAAAGAAAAGCTCGGAGATCGAATCACTGCGCTTCAGCAACTGGTTTCACCATTTGGCAAGGTATAGAAATTAAGTGAATCATTCGATTTTCAGCATGTTTTAATCATTGAAAAGATTACATATAACTTAATTTTATATAATTCTTATCTCTTTGCAGACAGATACAGCTTCTGTTCTCAACGAAGCAGTAGAGTACATTAAGTTTCTTCAAGAACAAGTCACTGTTAGTTCATCAGATTAATTCTTTATTTTCATTTGTAGTCAAAATAAATCAAATAATTAACATCTTTTTTAATTAATTTGATAGGTGTTGTGTAATCCAGACCAGAACACCAAAGGATCTGTTCAACAACAGCAGGTACTTAAAATTAGTTATTTGTTAACTACTCTTTTATTTGTCCTTTTGCTTGTGATATCAAGAATCTTTCTCAAAAACCAATCATCACCAAAACTAATGATTTCTTGAATTGATTAAAATAGTGTTTAGACAAGAATTCTACCAATATTACTCAACAAGAAGAAGAATGTAGTTCAAGAAGACAAGTAGATCTCGCGAGCCGCGGGCTATGTCTGATGCCGATTTCAACAACATATCCGGTGGCTGCGGCCGCGGCTTTGGCTGCAGAGATGAACACTTCTGATTTCTGGAACATCCCATTCTCTGTAAACTTATGAATTAGACACATACATAAACAAAACAAAAAAACTCTCTTCCACATTAAAAAAACAGAGGAGATCTTGTAAAGTTTGATATTTTTTTACAAAAAATGTAAATGTCATGTAATACTTCAAAAACTATATTGTTTGTTTGCTTTTACCAAAACCTTAACATACCCATTCATCGACTTTTATTCTTCTCCAAAGTG